ATGTGCGATTGATCTATGAACACCACCATACATTCTTGATTACTGTTGCTACATAATATGTTCTGAAATCAGGCAAAGCTATTTTTCCCACTTTATTCTTTTCTAAAATAGTTTTAGATATTTTAGTCCCTTTATTCTTTCATATAAACTTTAGAATTATTTTATCTATTTCTCTAAAAAGTGTTGGTGAAATCTTCATAGCAATTGCTGTAAAGCTGTAAATCAATTTGGGGAGAGTTGACATTTTTACTATGTTGAGTCTTTCCAATTCATGAACATAGTAAGTTTTTCCATTTATTAGGCCTGTGATTTTTTTCAGTAGCTTTTGTTGTTTTTCAGCATATAAATCCTATATATTTTGTTAAATTTTATACCTCTGCTGCTTTTTTGAGCAATTGTAAATAAAAATTGTATTTTTAATTTCAGTTTCCATATATCCATTTCTAGTACTCAGAAATAAAATTGATATTCTTATGTTGCTGTTATGTTGGGCAACTTTGCTAAATTCACTAATTAGTTCTAGGTATTTTAAGGTTGCAGTTTACCCTTGAACAACACAGGATTGACCTGTGAGGGTCCACTTATACGTGGATTTTTCCCAATAAATATATACATTACTATAAATGTATTTTCTCTTTCATATGATTTTTTAATGCCATTTTCTTTTCTCTAGCTAAAAAATAAGTGTAAATCAACTGTTTATGTTATTGATAAGGTTTTCCGGTCCATAGTTGGCTATTAGTAGTTAAGTTTTGGGGGTGTCAAAAGTTATAGGTGGATTTTGACTGTACAGGGCTCAGTGCCCTACCATGTGCATTGTCCAAGGCCCAAGTGTGCTTGGTGTTTTCTAGGCCATTTCTCATTACAAATATGAACAGCTTTGATGTGTTGTAATTTCATTTTTATTTAGTTCACTGCATTTTAAATTTCTCTTGATTTGCCCTTTGACCTATGAATCATTTAGGAGTGTGTTGTTTAGTTTCCAAGCTTTTGGAAAATTTCCTGATATCTTTCTGTTATTGATTTTAAGTTTGATTCTGCTGTGACCAGAGAACACTATCTGCATACTTGCATTCATGTACATTTTCTGAAGTTAGTCTTATGGCCCAGGATTTGGTTGTGGTGGGCAGAATAATAGCACTCCAAAAATGTCCACATCTTAATCCCTGAAATTTGTGAATAAGTTACATTATATGACAAAGGGGAATTAGGTTGCAAAGGAGGTAAGGTTTCCAAATGGGCTTCCCTTGAGATGGGAAGAGTATCTTGGATTATCCAGGTGTACCCAATGTTTTTACAAGGACCTCATAGTTTCAGTTCTTTTTTGAGCATGTATCTTGTGTTGACATGTGCATGGCTTTCTGAGTTTCTCCCACATCAGTGGCTGCTCTTGAATGTCATAATTTCACAAAGAGTCTCACCCTAGCTTCTCCTGTGGACCTTAGATGGCGTATTGTATGTCTCTACTGATTATCTCTTGCCTTCGTAATCTGTGGCTGTTATGGGTTGAATTGTGTCCCTCAAAATTAATATGTTGAAGTTTTAACCCCCAGTACTTCGTGTTATGAGTCTCTTTGGAGACAGGGCTTTAAAAGTGGTAATTAAGGTGCATGAGGTCATATGCCCAAATCCAACATGACTGGTTTTCTGTAAGGAGAGTAGATTAGGACACAGACAAACACAGAAGGAAGTCCATGTGAAGACACAGGAGGAGCATGGCCATCTATAAGCCAAGAACAGAGGCCTTAGAACAAACCAGTCCTGCTGACACCTTAATATCAGACTTATAGTGTCCAGAGTTGTGATAAAATATAGTTTTATTATTTAAGCCACCCCATAAATTCCACATTATTATGGCAGCCCTTAGCAAGCGAATAGAGTGGGTTTGTCTCACCTTGTATATTTCATGAGCAGTGTCCACTGCTTTCCCTGCCTGCCTCCTATGTGAAACTGACATGAATGCCTTGCATCAGCTCTTTAGATGTCTTCTAGACAGGTTAGAACAGATGTACACAGTCATTTGCCAATAAAGTCTGCTCTGCTTCCTGTGGTTTGAAGTCCGGAATTGGAAACAGGCTGCCACTTGCTGAAAACCAAGACCACATCCCCATGAGGGCAGCAAGGGCTAGTGAAAACACCAAACGTCTTTCCTGCCATTTTGCAGATATATTTTTCCTGATTGGGCCTTTGGTCGGTTGCAGCGAACCTTTTACTGTTTTGCAGAGCTCCTGTGATGTTGGTTTCAATAGCTTCTGTTTTTGTTCTTTTATGTAGGTGTATTTCTGAGACTTGTTACAGACATAAATAAGTTAGACATAAAAGTATGCTCTGTGTGGTTCCGTAGAAAAGTTGAGTGATAAAAAGAAAATTGGTATTTATATAATATTAGTTATTTAATGAACTAATAAATCTTTTTTATATTCTATCTCATTCCCAGAGAGTTTCAATGGCTTAAAAAACATTATCTAACCATATTCTAGAATGAGAAGGGAAAAGGCGAGGGAAACATTATAGAAGACACATGAATAAATTAGAAGGTGATGGAGAGAACCCTCAAAGTCAGTATGAAAAAAATTGGGATAGTGAGTTGATAGATGGGAAAATGAAGTATCGGGAAGGATAAAATGATTATCTTACATGGTTTGGAGTGATGCGGTCATTTTAAGATGATAAGAAAATAAATGTCCTACACATGACAAGCGCTTCTAGGTTATCTGTTGATTCTTTGGAATTTAGAAGTTCCCCAACTCATTTATCTAAAAATAGATGAGTCTTTCCTGGCACTTCCCTCAGTACAGAAGCCACATAAATAATACCTTTCCATGAAGAGCAGTTAATTTATGGTGGTTCCTATTTCTCAAGGTGATCTGTCTGCATTGTCTCATGTTTTGTTTGTTTGTTTAAAAGGGAAGGATAGAAATACCTACCTTTGGATAGTTGGGAAGAATGAATGTGAATGTTTGTAGAAAGACTTTCATAAACTTTTTCAAGCTCTGTGAATATATGTAAGGTGGTGTTTTGAAGACCAGAAGTCTGGAGAAGAGAAGAAGTCTTTCTATACCTGAAACTAATATAATAATGTATGTTACCTATAACTGAAAGATCAAAAATATTAAAAATGGGCCCGGCTGGTGTGGCTCAGTGGATTGAGCATCATCCCGTGAACTGGGAGGTCCCGGTTCGATCCCCAGTGGGGGGTGTGCAGGAGGCAGCTGGTCGATGTTTCTCTCTCACACAGTGATGTTTCTATCTCTCTCTCTAAAAAAATCAATAAATTAAAAAAAATTGCATAAAAAAAATAAGAAATGGTGCAAATACTGAAAAAGGGAATGAATGTAACTCCATCCTTACTCTATGCCTTTATTTACAAAGTACTGTAAATGTTGATATTTTATTTGTTGTTTATGAAATGTTGAGATAATTCTACAAGAGAAATTAATAATAACTGTACCTTGTTTGGGTCTGTTAACATTTAAGAAATCCTGGTATGCATGAAAGGACAATATACTGAATGTTTTTATTCAATTGTCCTGTGTTTTATTGTGTTTAATTGCGATAGCTTTTTATAGAAAGGAACAGATGCTGTTGTTTGTACTGTCTCACTTTCTGTTAGGCTGAGAGCAAAAATTCTTAGTAAGCCTGTGTATCTGATAGATGAGAAGGTGGAGGATGGTGAAACCAGGGAGGGAAAGAAGAAATAGGGACAGGGAACCAAAAGTAACCAACCAGCTTGAGTTTGCCTAGAAGATGCGCTAAGTAGTTACTTTGGTCGGTGGCAGCAGTGCTCCTCAGACTTGAAAGCGCATACAGGTCCTCTAGGGAACGGAGAGAAATGCGGGCTCTGGTTTAGCAGGTCTGGGTGTGAGCTGGGAATGTGTATTTCCATCAGGCTCCCAGAGGATGATGATAGGTCAGTCCATAGACTCACTCTTGAAGTTGCAACTGGAGAAAGTATGGCCGGACCTCTTGGTGGAGGTTATATTTAAAAATTTTGAATAAATATAATTAATCAAAAAGGTAGTTGCCCGGCCGGTGTGGCTCAGTGATTGAGCATGGACCCATGCACCAAGAGGTCGCTGGTTCGATTCCCAGTCACGGCACATGCCTGGATTGTGGGCCCAATTCCCAGTGGGGGGCATGTAGGAGGCGGCCAATCAGTGTTCTCTCTCATCGATATTTCTATCTCTCCCTCTCCCTCTCTCTAAAATCATTAAAGGAAAAAAAATTTTAGAAAGGGTAGTCAATGTGATTTTATTTTATACACCATCATTAAACTTTTGTATAATAAAATTCCAAATCATTGACCAAAAATAAAAAACAAAACAAAACAGATGTCTGGCCATACCACCTTCACTTTTTACATTCATTGCCTCTTAGTTTAGGTCCCTTGGTGAATACTCTGTGAGCAAGTTACATTTATTCCCCTGCCAGATTGGGTCCTAACCCAGGCTGTCATGTGGTTAATGCGTAAAAAGTGCAGTTGTTGCCTATATTGTCATGCAAAGCGTCCTTGAGAGGCAGACAGACCACCTGACTTCTAGTTCCAGTTCTTCCACTAGCTGTGGGAGCTGAAGCTAATGTTTTCTTTGCAAATTGACTGTCAGTATTTGTTTGGTGAGAGACGAGAATGCACCTAATCCATTGCCCATATCGAGAATTCAATAAATGCTTAAGGAGACTCTTAGGAATACAAGTAAGTAGATTTAGCTTTTGCAGGCTTTGGGTAGAACTGGTCACAGAGGACAGGGATTGAAGACAAAACATGTCTGATAACTTAAAAGGACTCCACTAAGCTGCCCTCCTCCCTCTTTAATGTGTGCTTTTGGTTGCTCAAATCTACCCACAGTGTGACCTTTTGTTTAACATCATTCAGTGCACAGTGCTACCTTCTGGAAGCTTTGCCCTTTGCTTTTCTCCCATCTGCCCTAACAGCGATGAGGAAGGATATCAGTCAATGGACAGCAGTGTTGACCATTTCTCCTGTTTCCTTTGCTTTGCAGATTATTCTTCAGCTGTTCAGAAATTTTCCCAGACGCTGCAGTCCTTTCAGTTTGATTTTATTGGAGACACTCTGACCGATGATGAGATTAACATTGGTAAGTGTTCAGCTGCATGAGACCACGTGCCCCTCAGGGCAGCTCTAAGACCATGCATCCTCCGTGTTTGCGGATGGGGAGAACCTGGGCATCTTTTCCCATGTGGTCAAGTGCCAAGCTCCTGGGAGGCTGCATAAGAAGGATAAAGACACATTACCTCCCAGTCCCATGTCTTCCTCACCAAAAGCAACCGGAAGATATCCCTTAAACCTCCACTGAGGCCCTTTACTCAGTCAGTATGAAGGGGGATTTCTCTATAAAGAATTTGCTACACGAACAAAATATATTTATGTGATGGATAAATTAAAGACTGTTTCGGGGTTTATTTTCCAAAATGACCCAGAGATTTGACATCTGCCTTGGAAAATAAATGTAACAACTTGCACTGCCAGCTGCGTCATCTTGGACAAGGTATCTCCTCTCTTCGAGCCTTGTCCTCTGTGAGGTGTGATCAGTATCTCTCAAGGATGCTACAAAGAGGAGCTTGAATAGTGGAATTAAAAATAACTTTGTGTTAGTTGTCATGAAGATAAGGCAGTGTGGGTAAACTATGGCCCTCGGGCCAAATCTTACCCTCTATTTTTTTTTTTTTTGTAACTAAAGATTTGTTCTCACAAAGTCACACTTGTTAATTGAAGTATTGTCTATGGGAGTTTTGCAGTACAATAGTGATATTGAATAGTAGCAGCAAAGACCGGATGGCTTTTGAAGTCTGAAGTATTTGCCCTCTGGCCATTTAGGGAAAAGGTTTTGTGATCACTGAATTCAAGAGTTAGTGTGAACCATTTGTTAGATTAGAACATTGAACCACAGAACTAACGCAAGTAATCTAATGTCTCTGAAACAAGTTAGTAACAATTATATTTGTGAACCCCAAAATTAAAATATGAAAGTATATTATTATTACTATTTTAAAAATTATTTTTCTCCACACTCTCGCCAACACTTGTTTGATGATTTGTTGATGGCGGCCATTCTGACAGGTGTGAGGTGATACCTCATTGTTGTTTTCATTTGCATCTCTCTGATGATTAGTGATGTTGAGCATTTCTTCATATGTCTCTTAGCCATTTGTACGTCCTGTTGGGAGAGGTGTCTATTTAGTTCCTCTGCCCATTTTTTAATTGGGTTCTTTGTCTTCCTTTTGTTGAGTTGTATGAGCACTCTATATGTATTGGAAATTAACCCCTTATCTGATATATCATTGGCAATGATGCTCTCCCATACAGTGGGTTGCCTTTCCATTTCGATGATTGTATCTTTTGCTGTGCAGAAGCTTTTTAGTTTGATGTAAGACTCTAGTACACTGCTGGTGGAGATGCAGACTGGTGCAGCCACTATGGAAAACAATATGGTGTTACCTCAAAAAAATTAAAGATTGAACTGCCATTTGACCCAGTGGTCCCACTTCTAGGAATATACCCTAAGAAGCCTGAAACACCAATCAGAAAGAATATATGTACCCCCATGTTCACAGCAGCACTATTTACAATAGCTAAGATCTGGAAACAGCCCAAGTGTCCATCAGTAGGCGAATGGATAAAAAAGCGGTGGTACATATACACAATGGGGTACTATGCAGCTGTAAGAAAGATCTCTTATCCTTTGAGATGACATGGAGGGACCTGGAAAGTATTATCCTAAGCAAAACAAGCCAGGCAGAGAAAGACAAGTATCATATGATCTCACTTATCTGTGAAATATAATGAACATAACAGTCTGAGGAATGGGGTAGTCCCAGAGACGTGGAAGTGGGGTACAGACTGACAATCCCCAGAAGAGGGAGTGGTGGGGGAGAGATAAACCACAGAACTTATATACATGTATGCATGAACAATGGGCATGGACAACAAAGCTGTTGTCCGTGGAAATGGACAGGGTGGGGTGGGAGTGGGAGGGAGGAATCAGTAGGGGAAAACGGTGAAACATCTGTAACAAAAATAAATAAATTAATTAAAAAATTATTTTTCAACTACAGTTGACATGCAATATTATGTTAGTTTAAGGTATACAATGTAGTAAATAGATATTTATGTACTTTACAGAGTGAGCCCCATGAGTCTAGTACCCATCTGACACCATATGTAGTTATTACAATGTTATCAACCATATTTCCTTTTCTCCGATTTACTTCCCTGTGACTTTTTTTAACTGGCAGTTTGTACTTATTTATAACTTTCACCTTTTTCACCCATTCCCACAATCCCCTTCACATCAGGCAACCATCAGTTTATTCTCTGTATCTGAGTTTGTTTTCATTTTGTTTGTTCACATATATGTATAGTTTTGTTTTCATGTATTTATACTGTGCTCATGGACAGGAAGAATTATCATAGTTAAAATGTCCATACTGCCCAAAGCACTCTACAGATTCAACACAATGGCTTATCTCACAGAACTAGAAAAAATATTCCCAAAATTTATATTAAATCACAAAAGACCCCAAATAGCCATAGTAATCTTTTTTTTTTTTGTCCTCACCCGAGGATATTTTTTATTCAGATAGAGTGGGAGGGAGAGAGAGGAAGAGAGAGAAAGAGAAACATCGATGTGAAAGGGACACATTGAGTGGCTGCCACCTGCACAACCCAGCCAGGGCCGGGGACAAACTGCAACCAAGGTACGTGCCCTTAGCAGGAACTGAACCCGGGTCTCTCTGGACCACAGGCTGACGCTCTAACCACTGAGCAAAACTGGCCAGGGCAGCCATAGCAATCTCAAGAAGAACTAAGTTGGAGGAATCACATTACTTGATATCAAATTATACTACAAGGCCATAGTAATCAAGACAGCTTGGTACTGGTATAAAAACAGACATATAGATCAGTGAATCTGAATAGAAAGCCAAGAAATTGTCCATGAGCACAGTATATATGCTTCTATTTATTTGTATCTTCTTCAGTGTCTTATAATTTTATGAATACAGGTCTTTTACATCCTTGATTAAATTTATTCCTAGGTGTTTTACTTCTTTTTTGAAGCAATCATGAATGGGGTTGTTTTCTTGGATTCCCTTTCTGATAGTTCATTATTGGTATATAAAAATGCAATTGGTTTCTGGATATGTATTTTGTGTGCTGAATTCATTTATCAGTTCTAGTAGTTTTTTGGTGGAATCTTTAGGGTTCTCTATATACAATATCATGTCATCTGCAAATAATGAGTTTTACTTCTTCCTTTTTAATTTGAATGCTTTTTATTTCTTCTTCTTGTCTGATTGCTGGGGCTAGAACTTCCAGTACTATGTTGAATAAGAGTGGTGACAGTGGACATCCCTGTCTTCCTGATCTTACAGGAAATACTTTTAGTTTTTGCCCGTTAAGTATGATTTGGCTGTGGGTTTGTCATATATGTCCTTTATTACATTGAGGTATGTTCCTGCTATTCCCACTTTGTTGAGAGTTTTTATCATAAGTAGGTACTGGATTTTATCTAATGCTCTTTATGCATCTGTTGGTATGATCATGTGATTTCTACCTTCCACTTTGTTTATGTGATGTATCACATCTATTGATTTGTGGATATTGAACCAATCTTGCATTCCTGGAATAACTCCCACAGGATCATGGTGTATGAGCTTTTTAATGTATTGCTGGATCTGTTTTGCTAATATTTTGTTGAGGATTTTAGCATGTATGTTCATTTAAGGCCACTGTTTCCTTATTGATTTTCTGTCTGAATTATCTATTTGTTGATGCCACTGGGGTGTTAAAAGTCTACTACTATTTCTGTATTAGTGTCCATCTCCCACTTCATGTCCATCGATATTTGCTTTATAAATTTAGTTGCTCCTCCTTGGGGTGCATAGGTGTTTGCAAGAGTTCTATCTTCTTGTTGGATTGAGCCCTTTATCATTATGGAATGCCTCTTTTTACCTCCTTCGTTACAGCCTTTGTTCTAAAGTTTATATTGTCTGATATAAATATTGCTACCTCAGGTTTTTTTGTTCCATTTGCATTTTCCTATAATTTTACTTTCAGTCTATATGTCTTTCAATCTAAGGTGGGTCTCTTGTAGGAGTATATGTGCTTCTTTTTATCCATTTAACCACCCTGTCTTTTGATTAGAGCATTTATTCCATTAATGTTAATGTAATTATTGATATGTATATAGTTATTGCCACATTTTATTAATGATTTCTGACTGTTTTTGTAGTTCTTTTCTTTTCCTTTCTTATTGTTTTATTCTCTTCTTCTGTATGTTGACGACTTTGTGTAGTGTTATGTTAGGATTCTTTTCCCTTTTGTTCTTGTATATCTCTTATAGATTTTGGTTTGTGGTTATATGTGCTTCATATATACTATACTATGTTCATAAGCATTTATTTTCAGTTTATGGTAGCTTAAATTTGAACACATTCTAAAACCATTACATGTTAAACTCTCCACCCACCAGCCGGACTGGTGCAGGCAGGTGCCAAATCTATGCTCTCCATTAACCTGGATAACAACATTTGCCCTACCTAGGCAATTCCCAGAGACCTTGCCCCAGCGAACTTGGTCGCCCCAACCAAGCCTCTTCCAGTGGCTCTTCCAAAGAAGCTGCCTGCCTCTACTCACGCTGAGGGTTTTATAAAAATCCCTCAGGGATCCACAAACCAGAAACAAGCAAGGAATAGCTCTAGTATGTCTTGTAGTTCTTGCAAAGTGGCTCCAAGCCCAGCGTAAGTGGAAAGACCTCAACTTAAATTGTAAGTCCTATCAGGTGGCCCCAAGGCTAGCATCAGTGGCAGCCAACATGGCCTGGAACATAGCTTCAACTAAGCAGCCACAAGCCTAACACAAGTGGCAGTTGCCCTCAGTTTTCAGTGTAGCTTCTCCCAACAACTTCCAAAATCAGCAAAAGCAGAAACCAACCACAGATCACACGGTAGCTGCTGCAAAGCACAGACACAGGCAAGTAGCTAAACTTGACCAGCACTGGATACCCTCCCAAGCACTTCCAGACCCAACTCACCTGGTGGCCAGTTCAGATCACACTACAGCACAACCCAACCAGCT